GTAAAACATGAGCAAAGAAATACTCCTTGTCTACCTAGGCTGTTACCGCGAGAGGCTACCTGCATGTCTTGGCGAAGTTGGACATAGGACGGATGGGTTCTAAGCAGCCCTCGCGACTGATACCCCCTGATACCCCCCCTTCGACTTGAGAGTATTACTTGAGTACCTAAGTAAGGTATTGTATGTGTAGGTAATAGACAAAACGACGGGGTCTCCTGCACGACGTACATAAAATAAGCTATAGAGACCTACTGACGCTTGATACTAACGCTTACGTAGTAGGCCTACGCCAATGCGATATCACTTGCATGCGCAACGACGCTAACTCTCCGGAAGAGGGAGTGGTGACACAACTTTTACCTTACCTTACCTTACCCTCATCACCAACTTCGAGAGGTTCGAACGATGACACCGGCTTCGTACACCTCGTCGCCTATAGGCTTCTCGCTACCGGCATTAGTGCTTATCTACCAGGGACGAACACGACCACCGCGCATCCGCGTCTCGCTAATCCACCAGAGGCGGAGAGGAACAAACAAGGATGAAGACGACGTCAAACTCCATATGAGGATGTCACAAGAGCAGCTAAAATTTAACAATGCACGCTCACGGGAGCTGAGAAAAAAAGAAGGATCCGGTCACGATTCCGATCTAGATTTTATCGGGTGAGACGGGACTCTTCTTAACCGGGTAAGAGAGGGAAAGCAAGAAAGGGCTGACGAGAGATTCAAACACCAGCCGTGGTAGAGTTAGACACCATATCCCGGCAATGAACCATTAGACCCTGCTAGTCCGAGATCCTAAAGTGATCTCTCCAAGGACTCTCCTCGATCGACGATCAACCCAGCGGAATACGCACCGCATTACTGAATGGGGCACATAGGTGTGGGTAGGTAGGGGGATAAGATGGGTAAGCAATCTATCCAAGGCTACCATAGCACGTAAGGTGTGCAGGTGAAGACTCGAAGATGCAGATATGACGATCGGCGACCTCGATCTTGACGCGATGACAATGATAGATTAGCTGGACGTAGTAGAGCACACATGAAAAAAAAAAAAAAAAACCCAGCTTGACATATATTCCTCAGGACTATGTAAGAGTTTAAGATGCTACACAGTACACCCTCTTCGTCTCCGGATTTCGTTCCCCTTTTCCGCTAACCAACCTTGGGCAATGAACAAGCATTTACTACGCAGTACATACAGTGTAGTATAGGTAATTCCAACTTGACTATCTGCAACGCTAAGCTAGCAATCAGCGACCCCATATTAGGTACTTTGCCCTCCCTTTCTCCCTCGCGCATTTACTAGCACCGTACTCGTACTGCATCTACACGCGAGACTGCAAACCAAAGGCCAACGTGTACTACATAGTGTACTACATAGTACAGGACCGCGCTAATCACGAACCACGTAAAAAAGATCCTGGACGGTTTGTAACTTCGCGAGCCGCGCTTAACCTCATCCTCTCGGACCTGCGTCTACCATCATGCACGTCCTTACAAATAGGGTGGGTAGTAGAGGACGAGGGTTGAAGGGGGAAGGGGGGGGGAGGGGGGAACTACACTATGGACTCGCATGCGTCTGCGCTATCTATCGAAACCCCCCTAGCTTTCTCTCTAACGGGTATGGTACCGCACGCCCTTATTTAGGTACACTATGCAACCTGGAGTTTTAAGAAGCTGTCTCCATTGTGACATATGTATATGTATGCGTAGGTATGCAGCTGGACGATAAAAGTACCGTAACGGAGAACTCGAAAGAAGGGAGCACAATATGACGCTGTTTGCTATTAATAGAAGAGAACCGAGCGTATACGAAGAGTAATTGATAACTGAGGTATCGTATATCGCCAGGCTTCTTTGACAGATGCGCGAAACCATCACAATGACGATAGAAGACGAATGGAAGAGATCGGATTCGAAATCTCAATCTCGACCTTGTGCGAGACGTTTAGATAGAGATTATCTTAGAGGTCTAAGACGGCTTGGCGGCAGACTTCCTATTTCCTACCCGAGACATAACGTGGTAGTCCTCGCGTGCTCTTGCGTATGGGATACTATGTATGCCAGTATGGGATATGTAAAATGAAGATGTACCTCGGTGCATACATCTATAGTACGTGTTCCCTTCGTACATGGGTACATGTGCAGGCGAGGGATGCTACATGAGAACTACAAGTTAGCGTCGGAGTATATACATAGAATAGTGTAAGTAGGTAGGTTGTGTGTAAGACGTCTTCTACATCGTCAACTATAATATAACCTATTTCGATGCGGTAGGAGACGCATAATTAGGTAGGTTAGGTAGGTTATTCAAACCTCCCTCACATCTGTCTCTGTCTCCCCTGCGGAGTTATTCGCTCGACTATTAACGTAGTGACATATGGCTCTTAAGCGTGCGAAGCAGGCCGTGATATTATGTATATGTATAGCACCCTCTAAGGTACATTAATTAGCGGAATCCCGCAGTGGCAGCCCCAGTATTGTCTCCTCCTAGCGTGCTACCTCCCGGACTTATTCTATAAGTTGGTAGACAAGCAGAGACGCTAACCATTCGGTATCGTAGCAAGGTCTTTGCCTTTCTGGAGGACCGGACCTGGTCTTTTGCAGATCTCTCCTGGTCGATCCCTAGCGGGCGTCATGCACGAAATTCAGATTGATGATGATTTCTTCAGAACAAAGTCGACAGATCAGCGCAGCGGTTTGTAGTGTAACGCTGCCGGACTTTCAGGGATTGGGGGATTGGGGGTTTAGTCCAACGTTAATACATAAGTTGGGGGCACCGTACCTTGCCTAATACCTAACAGTAACCCCCATCCCCCATCCCCCATCCCCCATCTAACCCCCCTTATTAGGCACTTGGTCTTCCAAATCCTCAAATACTCGGCCTGGTATGATTCGATTTCGAAATGTCCCGTCTAGGCTCCGGATCTGGAAGCTGTGAGCTCATTCGCGCACATATCCCTTACGAAGATCCACGTTAGACGGATCTCGTCGTAGAGCGAGTGCTAAGAGCGATCTGCCCGCCGGCGGCCAGCACGTCGCATCATCTTAGTGCATTCCGCGCAAGTGGAGACGACGCCGCCGTTAGTCGGTTTGCGGATGGTGGAATTTACTGCATGCTACCTCCTCCTCGGCCATACGACAACGCATATACCAAGCAGATTATACGCCAATAGGTAAAGGCCGTCGTATGTAATATGTACGTGTTACCTATGCAAGAGGTTCCTCGTAAATACGCGCAAATTTCGACGTGCTGGGGATTAGGTATAGGAAGAGTTTCGTCAGATACGCAGGTATTGTTGCTTCCTCCCCACTTCCCCCAAATCCAATGATGGCACGATGATGTCGTCAGATAAGGGGTCCTGTCCTGTCTGGAGGGAGCCGACGGCAGGCTAGCAGTTTGATCTGGCCGTGGCAATAAGCTTATCAGAGCCGAACCAGATTCGTGGGACCGCAGACGGACTGTGAGCGCCCGGACGGGGTAGCGGGCGAGATCTAGATAGACCTAGAGCACGATCTAGACCTCCGGAGATCGTCTGGGGAAGCTGATCCGGTCGCCGGCTTGCGTCGCCGCCGCGTAATAAGTACCTACGCACCTATCGATGCGGTTTACTTAACTTATCCTACCGAGACCCAGTCTATAATCTGTAATAACTTACGCCTTTATTAACTACCGTTGTATATGTGCTCGCATGCGTTCTTATACCCCACGCCCGTATTGATGTGGAAAATAGTATACCTTAGGTAAGCTAGGTGGGAAGACCGGGCTGGCATAATAGACCTTGTTATGAACCTAGTCGACGCTATAGTAAACTTGATGAGTGTATGGCGTCGAGATATTTAATCGACTTATTTACCTATCTCATGCTAAGCCTTGGTAAAAGAAGCGTTGATATATTGGCATATTAATGCTGTCGAATGGGCTTGGCAAGGTTTGGGCTACTTGGGGGAAGTTCATATACTCGAAGTGGGACGAACAGAATACTCCAATTGCAAAGAACGTAAGGGCCGGATATCATTACTTATTTACAATACATCCTTATGTATTTTGGATTCAAAGTATGGAATTAACTAAGGGTTTAGGTACTCAGCTAACAAGCGCCCAAATATTTACTTTACAAGTTTAGAGGCATTTCGAATTATATTTAAAGGAGGATAAAGGGCCAGAGGACCTCCACAAGCAAAGCACTTGCCAACACGGGGGCGAAGATACCGCATTCGACCTCAGGCGCCGTCATTTGGATAACCTGCTTCATAGGCTTAATAATTTCTCTCTACTGTCTAAACAACGTAGCCTCGTATCCTTCTTCCACCTCTGGTCCGCTCTTCGAGTCATTACCCTCCCTTAGACGATCGCAGTTAAATTCTTTAAGACGACGTCAATCTGCCGTAGGGGCTCCGGTATGACTTTAACTAGGATCTTCCTAATCGGTCCAGCTGCGCCGAGACGTCTTATAGTAGCCGAGAAAGCGGTCATGGCTTGGCCGCGATCCCTTTTGCCGAACGTTGCCAAAGCTTCCCGCTTCGGACTGAGTATATTCCCCTTCACTATCGCTGCCGCTCTGGGGTCTAGTCCCGGGTGATCCTGGTGAAACTGAACGTCGCCGGCCTGTGGGCCCGGGCCCGGGCTGTGGATGTCCAGGAGAAACTCTCCGGGCACGTTAGCTCCCAAGATAGCTTGACGAAGTTCCGTGCCACGTTTCTCTGATAGCTCAGGCCCAGCGCGGACTCGGGATAGGTCAGCTTGTTCAGAGAAAGGAGCCTCGTCTCAAGTATGTTGAAATTGTGAAAGCTTTTCTTACGCACCCGTTGTTTAGAAAATTCCGAGGTGATCAACGGTGATGGCGGGGCGTCAGCTTTAGGTAACTAAGAGATAGAGCAGATGTATGTGGCAGTGTGGCAGTGCTAGACATAATACCTAGGTAGCTACCTATTAAAATATGCCAACGAAGCGACGTTACTGTGTGGCTGTGGCCGTTGATGCACCACAGCAGCCTCGCAATGAGGTCGAGGCTCAGAGGATTCTCATCCTTAAGCTTAATCGTTTTGCTCTCTAGACCATCATTTCTATTCGACCATTCATATAAATAGTTCTACTTAGTATATATCTTACAGCGTAATGCTGAAAGTATCACAGGAAGAATCGAGGGTTAGTGCGGGGGACATTCTAGATAACAATCATACCACTCTAATGTCTTTGAATCCATCGTCAAACATGACTCCGCAGAGGTGAGGTTAATCAGAATTCATTGTGTTCCCGTGCTAGGGGAGGGATATTGAGCGTGCAGCTAACAATTATCCCTATAGGCCTAAGCGAGACCTTTGGGAAGAGGCACTCCAGAGATTTGAAGAGTCTGACCAAAAAACAGCGTCGATTCTTCGGGCTGATGTCGAAAAGAGGCTAAGTGATGCCGACATTGTCAGCTCAGTACTTCAACAAGCATATAATGTGTATGAGGAGTACCGGAAAAAACACTCGGCATTCCGCGATGGGAACACAAGAAAAAGGCATATATTCTTGGATAAGATCTACAAGATGATAAACTCCATCATGCAATTCAAAGGACTCGTGGATGCCGGGTTGAAATTTGGTCCTTCTGGATATGGTAATTCTAATCGATCTACTCGCTAATACTATAATACTGAGGTGAACTTTATAGGAACAATTGCTTGGACAGCCACATCGTTTTGTTTTCAGGTCCAACCTAGTGATATTCAGGTATTAATTAAGCTTACGTACTAACAGCTCTGTAGATGGCCATTAACCACAACGATAAAGCTGTCTCAGTACTGGACGGAGCTGAGTATTTAACTCATCTTCTTGCACGTTACGCCTTAATTGAAGTTCGATATATGGCGATGCCTTCTGATGCTTTAAACGAACTCGAAACGTGCGTGATTGGCGTGTATGAAGCAACACTGGAATACTTAGCGGAAATGAAAAGCTTCCAAAATCAAACAAAACTAGGCAATCTTATTAGCTCAAAATAAAGACCAGCATATATCTCACAGTTGACTTAGGCATTATCCTCAAAAGCATCACACCCTTGTCTGACAGTGCGCTGAAGAAGCTTAAAGATACTCTTCAGAGCAGAGATGAAGAGGCAGATAGATGGACGAAACTGGTAGAGGACGAATGTAAGTAGATAAATGTTTACTTTGCGCCAATTCTGCTGATAATATTGTAGGTCGTACAACACAGTTTATGGAATTAAAGGCGCTGGTGAAGACTGTAGTTTCGCCAATATATAATATAGATCATCAAACGGCTAGTAATATTGATGAATACGTACGACGTAGGTAGAAATAAATCGTCATGGGAGAGAGCTAACTTCCTGGACAGGATAGAACCGACAGAACGTGTTGGCATGGATCTCAACTACAAATCATAACGTTCTTCACAAGTCAGCCCGTGATAAAGCCGTCGGGTCCGAGAGACGAGCACCGGGAAAATGGGTGCTAGATGAGCCAGAATATAGGTACTGGCAGGGTGCGATCATCCCCTCAGTTCTGTGGCTCTCGGGAGATCGTAAATTATCTAGAAACCTCGAATTTACCATAATACTGACGTTAACTGGAGGCAGCCCTGCGGGCTGCACAATATGCCCGAGTTTACATAATTGCGCACGTGCCATATACTGCCCATTGAGTTACTTTCCTATTTGGGCCATGGAAAAAATTCGACACAATAACCCCTCGTAAACTCGGGCACTTAGTTGGGACGGGGAAAACTACTTTGATGTAAGTTTGAATTTCCTTGTTAAAGATGACTGTACTTGTATATTAACTATTTTAAATCGACCATTATCGAACTTGTTAAGACTTTATACAATGAAAAAAACCGAGGAACAATAGCTTATTTTTACTGTTCGGGAACTTTAAAAACGAACTGTCATATAAATAATAATGCCAAAAGATTATTGGTTAAAAAAAACAATTAATAAAAAATATAAAATAATTATTTTAAAATTTATTAAATAAGGAATATTATAAAATTATGTAATTATATATAAGTAAAATTAATATATTAATAAAAACTTAATTAAATTAAAAAATATATATTTTAAATTATTTATAAATAAATTAAGATTTTCTTTTAAAAAAAAAAAGAAAATTAAAAATTTTAAAACTTTAAAAAATTATTAATAATTTTAATTATATTTTAAATTTTTTATAATTTTTATTATAAATAATTTTTTATTATTTTAAAAAAATTTAATATTTTAAAATGATATATATATTTTAAATTATTATTTATTTTATTTTATATTAAAATTTTAAATTAAAATTTAATAAAATTTAAAAAAAACCTTTTATTACCTTTTTTTATTAATAATTTTTTTTTATTTTAAATATTTTTTTTTATTATTATTATTTATTAAAAAAAAAATTAAATTAAAGTATTTTTTTATATTAAACTTTATATTTTTAAAAAAAAATTTTTTATTTAATTAAAAAAAAAGTTTACGGAAAAATTTAAAAATTTTATATTTTATAAATATATAATTAAATTAATTTTTAACTAAAATATTTTTAAAAAATATTTTCGAAATAAATATTAAAAGTATTTTTTAATTTAATTTAATATTTTAAAACTATTTTTAATTTAAATTAATAATATAAATTTAATATATTTTAATAATAATTATATTTTTATTTTATATAAAATATATTTAAAATTAATATTATTAATTTTATTATTATTAACTTATTTTATAAGGTTTTATTTAATGTGAAACTTAATAAATTAAAAGGAAAAAAAAAGATTTTTTTCGTAAGTTATTTTAATAATATAATTAACGTATAAATAAAATAAATATAGTAATTTATTTAATAGTTTATGTAAGTTATTATAATAATAATGTTTATTAATAACCTTTTTATAAAAAAATTTCCAACGTTTTTATTGGTTTAATCCATTATAAATGCATTGCATTTTTTTATTATATCGCTAATCCATTACATTTATTACATCGTTAATTCATTACATTTTATCATACCAATTCATCGCATTTTATCGTATTAATTTATCGCATTTTAAAACTTTTCGTTAAATCCAAATTATCGTAAAAAAATTTATAACTATTTTTTTAATATATTTACAAATGTTATTTACATTTTAACATTTTCGGTTTTATTTTTTTTAATTATTAATTTATAACTTTTAAATTTTTTTAATAATAGCTTTAACTTTTTCGATATAATTATAAATATAATTAATATTTTTTTTTTTAATCTTTTTAAATTATATATTATTTACTTTAATTAACTATATTTTTATACTTTATTTAATATTTTTACCAATTATATAACTTTTACAAATTATTAAATATTTTTTTTTTATTAAAAAATTTTATATTTTAAACTATTTAATTATTTACGTAAAAAATTAAAAACCTTTTTAAATTTATTTAATTTTTTAATTTAATTTATATATATTTATTTTATTTGTTATTAGTTTTATAAAATCTTTTTTAATATATTATTAATAACGTTTTTAATATTTTTTATTTATGTTTTTATATTTTTAATATTATTATTTTTGTTATTTGCCGTAATATTTTTATTATTAATTTTTTTATTATTTTTAATAATAAATATAAAGATATTAAAATTATAAATATTAAGTATAAATTTTACCGCATTTTTATATAATTATACTTTCGGTACTTTTTTCCATTTTTTTATTTATTATTAAAATGTAAAAATTTTTTAATGTTTTAAAAGTTATATAATTTATATTAATCTTAATATTAATAATATTTCTGTAATATTATTTAATAATCTATTAAATTTTAATAAAAAATTTTTATTTATTTATATAACTTTAAAATATTTTTTAATTAAAACATATAATAAAATTCCTTTATATTACTTAAGATTTTAATTACTTTTTAATTTAATTACATAAACTTTTTACAATTTTAACATTATTTTACGGTACGGTAAACTATTACTTAATTAATCGTAAAAATTAAATCTTATTAATATATTAATAACTTTTTTTAAATTAAACCATTTTTTTAATTTTATAATATATACTACTTTAATTTAATATACCTTTAAATTTTTAATTTATTTTCCTTTAAAATAAAAGTATTTTTTTGTTGTTATAAAATAAACATTTTAGTTAAAAATTATTTGTTTTAATAATATAATTATTTGCCTTTAATGGCATATTTTTTTAAATAATAATTCTTTATATTATTTTAATGTTTTAACGTTATTTAAACTAGTAATATTTTAAATTATTATTAAATTAAACTAATACTTGTTTTAACTAAATCTTTAAAATACTTTAACCTTAAATATTTTAATTTTAAAATTTATATTAACTAATAATATAGTTAAAATATAATTATAAATATTATAATTTTATTATTAAAATTTAAAATATAATTAAAAAAAAATATATAAATTTATAATATAAAAATTATACCTTTAAAATTGCAATATTAATAATATTAATATCTTTTAAATAATAACTTTATTATATAAAATTTAAAAATTAATGTAAAAGAAAAAAAAAATATTTTTAATAATATTAACAAAAGGAATTTTTTTTATAATTGCTTAATAAATTTTAATTTTTTAAATTAATTATATAACCGCATTTATTTTAATTTAAAAATTAAATTTTAAACCAATATTTTAATTTAAAATTTAAATTTTAAACCAATTAAATATTAAAATTAATTTTATTTCGTTTATTTATATTAAATTTAATTCCATTTTATTCATTTGTATTAAATTTAATTCCACTCCGTTTATCCGTATTTAAACTTAATTTTAAGAATTATACCATTTTAATCTTTAAAATTAAAAGTATTATTATTAGTATAATTAACTGTAATAATATGGTTAATAATTGTAATAATATAATTAATAATTATATTGGTAATAATATTATTAATTTAATATTTAACTTTACCTTAACGTTTATTTTTAATATTTCCTTTATTAATTTTTATTTTTCGTTTTCATTTTTGTTAATTTCTTTACATAATTTTAATTTTTTTAATATTAATTTATTTACTTTATTAAATTAATTAATTAATTTTATTATATTTTACATTAATAATTTTTTAACGTATTATTAATTGTATATTAAAGTATATTTTTTCCATTATATAAAATATTCCAATATTAATATATTTTATTTATTTATCCGTTTTTTTAAACATTTCTTAATTTTATAAAATAGCCATTTATTATTATTATTTTTAATTATAATGCGTTTAATTTAAAATTTCTATTTATTATATAAATTTGTTTTTTATAAAATTTTATAAAATTAAATTATTAATATAATTTTGTAAATTTTTTAATAATTAAAAATATTTAATTTATATATTAAATCTTTAATATATTTTAATATTATTAATAGGTTAACCTATTAAATAAATTATTTTTTTAAAGGCTTTTTTAAAAAATTATATTTTTTATATAATTTAAAATATACCGTATTTTTAATTTTCCAATTAACTAATTTATAAATTTTATTATATTTTATTTTTGCGTTAATTGTAATAAAATCTATTATAATTTTTATTTTTTTTTAATATAATTCTTTTAAAATATTAAAATTAATAAAATTATTTAATAATTTTATTATTAAAATTATAATTTTT